TTATATCTGTGAGTTCTAGGCCAACCTGGTCTAAAAGCAAGTTCCAGAACAGCCAGAGCTGTTATACAAAGAAACTCTGAAAATTAAAAAAAAAAAAGTGTGATCTGTCTAAAACAATTTTTTATGCTCACATATGCTTCCGTTTCCTTATAATGAAAACCACTAATAAACTTATCTCCTCTCTAGCCTTGGTTTTCTGAGGGAGATAAATTACCTATACCTATATCATCTACTGCTAGACTCCGATCTCTAAGCATTTAAAAGAGCCCATATTGTACTCCACAGTGTTAGACTACTTCCCCATGCTTCTCTGAAGAAAGAGAACACACACGTGGTGATTGCTTGTGTGTGCTCTAACAAATAAAGCTTGCCTGAAGATCAGAGTGTGGAGCTAGCCACACTAATTAGCCATAGAGGCAAGACAGTGGTGGCTCACACCATGAATTGCAGCACTCGGGAGAGGCAGGCAGATTTCTCTGAGTTCAAGGCCATCCTGGGCTATAAGAAATTGAATCCATCCAAGAGAAACAGAGTCAAACAGTGGTGGCTCACATCTTAAATCCCAGCACTAGGGCTGTTGAGACAGAAGTAATATGGCTGGGTGGAGAAAGGAATATAAAGCAGGAGGAGACAGGAGCTAGCAGCATTCAGTCTGAGGATTTGTAGGGACAGGATCACCCCTTTGGTCTGAGGATTCAATAGAAGTAAGAACTAGCGCTTGAATGCTCTGCTTCTCTGATCTTTCAGCATTTAACTCCTAAATCTAATTCCGGGTTTTTATTATTAAAACCAATTAGAATTCGTGCTACACATACACTTAGCTTGTGAATGCCTGTAATCCCAGGACCTGTACAGGCAGAACAGGAATTCAAGGTCAGCCTAGACTACATAGTAAGATCCTATCTCAAAATATAATGGGGGGGGGGGTGCGCAAAGGGAATGGACAGTTCAGTGGTAGTATTTGCCCAGGATACATTAAGACTCTGGGTTCAATACTACCCATTTTACACATGTTTAATTTAGTTGTAAATCTCAACCAAATTGGGGCTTTTAGGTGATCTAAATAATTGTAAAATTTCATCCTTCTTGGGCTGAGGGATGTGACTCAGTGGCAAGAGTTCTTGCCTAATATGTATTATGAGACCATTGGGTTTGAGCCCCAGCTCGCCCGTGCTCTCTCTTTCTCACACACAAACACAACTTATATTTCTTGAAGAAAGGTTTTTTTTTTTATTGAGAAAAGGAAAAGAAAAAAAAAGTTTCCGCCTCCTCCCAGCCTCCCATTTCCCTCCCCCTTGAAGAAAGTTTTTTGAAAAAACAAAAAACATGTCAAAATAGCCAGTAAAAGACCTATTTACTACTTACCCTAAAAGTAAGTTCTGACTTCCTAACTAAAGATGACTACTTTGCTTTATTGAGATAGGGTCTCACTATATGGTTATATGGTAAAGAGTGGCCTCTAATTGTCAACCCTCCTTATACAGGGCAAATTATTAGCTCTATTTTAAAATCAGAGCCAAAACTCACCACCATCCTGTGGTATCTATATTCTTAGAATTTGATTTACTTAAGGTTTTTTTTTTTTTGCATTTTATTTATTTGGTTTTTCAAGACAGGGTTTCTCTGTAGCTTCGAGGCCTGTCCTAGAACTAGCTCTGTAGACCAGGCTGGCCTCAAACTCAGAGATTCACCTGCCTCTGCTTCCCAGGTGCTGGGATTAAAGGCGTGCGCCACCACCACCGGCCTAGAACTTGAAAGATAAAGGAAAGGAGAATCAGGAGTTCAAGATTATCCTCTGCTACCTGATAAGTTCAAAGCCAGCCTGGTCTATTTAAGACCTCATCAAACAAAAAGCTATTTATATTCAGAAATGACAATAAGTACAAACTCACTTATGGAAAGAAAAACTTCAATTGCAACAGCTAGAAGAGTTTAAATATGTCAAAAATACAAATGTATCTCAAGATTGATAAAATTTTATACACACAAAGTATCAAAGCACTCAACTCACCCAGTTAAAGGCAACTTATGCATTTCAGACTTTTTTTTTCCTTTTTGAGACAGGGTTTCTCTGTGTAGCCCTGGCTGTCCTGGAACTCACTTTGTAGACCAGGTTGGCCTCAAACTAAGATATTCATCTGCCTCTGCCTCCCAAATGCTATAATTAAAGGCATGTGGCAGTGTTCCAGACATGTTTTCAAGAAAGTTGTAGTGTAGTTTTCAAGCTCTTAGAACACCATTTTAAGAATACTTCTAAACGAATGGTCTTTTTCTTACTATGCAAACCAGAGCTACTCAATCCAGATGAAGTTTGTCATAAGAATGAGCCAGAAAAGACTTTCAGGGCTGGATGCTTAACGTAGCAAGGGAGCACTTGCCTAACAAATGACAGAGGCCCTGAGGTTCTGTCCACACCCAACACTGGGGGGAAGGGGCACAAAAAATGGGGGAAAAGGAAGCAACTAACCCAAATTAGTAATCATTAATGCAAGTAATTTTATTTATTTATTTGGTTTCTCGAGACAAAGTTTCTCAGTACTTATGGAGCCAGTCCTGGAACTCGCTCTGTAGAACAAGCTGGCCTCAGACTCACAGAGATCTGCCTGCCTCTGCTTCCCAGTGCTGGGTTTAAAAGTGTGTGCACCACCGCATGCCGTAAATTTCACTTTTTAAACTTTTTCATTCTTGTTAATGCCACATGTACGCAGGTGCCCAAAGGGGTTTGAAGAAGGGCTTTGAATATTCTGGAGCAGTGATTACAGGCAGCTGTGAGCTGCCTGATGTGCGAGCTGGGATCTGGACTCTGAAGAGCACCAAGCACTTTTAATCCTACTGAGCAATCAATCATCCAGACCCTGTGAATTTAACTTTGAAGCACGCTGCATTTTTATACCATCATTATTTTGGTTTTAGTTTTGAGATAGGTTCTAGATAGGTTCTAATTATGTAGCCCAAATGGGCCTGTGTAGGCCAGGCTGGCCTTGAACTCAAAGAGACCACCTGTCCACAGCGCGTGCTGTCACCACCACACCCACCTGGTTTTTTTTTTTTTTTTTTTTTTTTGAGGTAGGTTCCTGCTATATAGCCCATGTTTGACTCAAACCTGTTAACTGTACCCCAGGCTGGCCTCAATCTGCTAACTATAGTCCTGGATGGCCACAAAAATCACAAATTGAGTGCTAAGATTGCAGGTGTGCACAACCACAGTAGGATCTAATTCTAATTTTTCTAAGATTTATTTTATTTTTTTTAATTACGTGTGTGTGCTCTAAGTGAGTACTCAGAACTCCGAAAAGGGTATCAGCTGAAACTGGAGTTTCAGGTACTGGGGAATAGCCTGACACAGGTTCTGGGAACTAAACTGGAGTCCTCTGCGAGATCAGTGCAAGTTCTTAAATCACTGAACCAGCTCCCCAGCCCCTAAACATGCTTAGATAACATAGTCCTTTAAAATTATTTCCAGAGAAAAAACTTAATAATCTGATATTCAAAGAAGGAATGTTGAGATAGCAGCTTCTTTTCTGACAGTTACTCTTAGTGCTTATTTCTATAATTTACATCTACTGAGTGTGTCAGGACCCTAACAACCATTGTAGCTATTATATTACGAATTCTAATATGCATTGAAACCCTCTCCTTTTTAAAGAAATGCAAGGAAAAGTTTCAAAAGTATCCAAGGTCACCAATGAGTCAATAACAAAAGTTGGAAGTCAACACTAAAACTTCAGCTCCTACACTATAAACCGCAACTTTTCCAATCCCAAAAGAGAGAAGAGTCAACCAACTATTTGCAAAAACCACCCAACACCGTAGTACACTGACTAGACCCAAATCAAAGATTCACCCTGGACTAAAGAAACAACATGCAACATTTGCATACCATTATCTCCTTCCTTGTTCTCAAAACCATACAAAATAACGTAAAAGAAAAAAACCTCTGGATATATTAATCCTTGGTAATGTGTACTCTTCGATATGAACACTTTATTTTCCCACTAACTGAACATTTATAAGTTAATCTTTCATCACCTTGTCACATTCCATCCGAGGTGCTATGGGGTACATTCATTCCTCACTCAACAGCCAAAAGTTAAAAAACATGCAACTCTCAGAACATAGTTACATTGCCAATGACAGAAAGAAAAGCGTCAATAAATTGCTGCTTTTAACGAGACATTTTAAAACACGATGACATGCTTCCCAGAATTACTGTTAAGTTCTTGGCCGGTTACTTAAAAGTAGCATTTAAGGCACATCCCTCTCTGTTTGGGGCATAGCCTGACTCGTCAGACAAGATAAATCTAGGCACGCTCACACAGAACACCTCTGAAGCAACTTAGCCTATTGAAAACATCATTGCCACCTTCCCTGTGCGAGTACTCAAGCCCTGTCAAAATACAAGGGACAGAATGACCCTCTTCAAAAATCTTTCGGGAGAAGGTTCCCTCGGCGAAGACAATAACAGCAGTCCTCCCGGGAAGGATTTTAGAAACAGTGTTGACACCGGGAGGAGAGGCTCCGAGGAAGTGTCAGTGCGGCAGCAGGTGGAGTAGCCCTGCGTGCCGAGCAGGTCCTTTCTGACCTAGTCTCCAAGTCCTCCGCCTCCCTGTCCCGGTTCCGCCTTACGGACCTTTCCGAGCCGCCTCGCGCCCGGGTCCTCTCACTCAGGGCAGGACTCTCGAGCCTCCCGGGAAGCGAGGCCACCTAAGACGGCCGCCGCACCTCTTCCGGGGACTCAGGCCCGCTCCCCGGCAGTGTCGGAACCTGACGGACCCTACCGTTCCCAGGGTCTCTCCGGCCCCGATTCCAGAGCCCCTTCCCCTTCGAGGCACCGCCGCCGCCACCCGCCTCACTCCGGAGTACCCCGGCGGAGTTACCGGCCCACTCAAAAGTACCAGCGCTGGCCGCCCCCACCGGTCACCCCGGCCTCGCTGTCACCGCCCAGCTCCCGGCTTCGGCCCGCACCGCCGGCGTGCCCCCGGTGACGCTCGGGTCGGTACCTTGCGGACCCCCTTGTAGATATAGAAGTAGAGCTCCCGGCCCACATTGAAGCAGAGGCGGTCGCCGTTGCCAGACTGGTCGTTGAGGTTTACGAAGGAGACGCGGACAGGGTTGGATCCCTGCGAGTTGAAGGGCACCCGGTTGGGCCGGCTGTACTCCGAGTGCGGCAGCAGCTTGTACAGACCTTCCCGGGTGGTGAATTGGGTCTTAATTTCGTTCATCTCCTTCCCTCCTCCCTCCGTCGCCATCTTGGAAAGCAGCGTTCATCCTGCCCTAAGTGCCCGGATCACGCCCACCGCGCAGGCGCCGTCCTCGGCCGCTCGTCCTCCACTCCCCACCCCCTTCCTCGTGGCCCCGCCCATTCTCGAGCCCGCCCCTCGAAGGCGGGCCAAAGCGAAGGGGGCGGGCTGATTTACGGTCCCACTGCGCACGCGTGCTCACCTGGGGCGCTCCGCCCGACGGGGGCGTGCGCAAGCTCCTCCCCTGGGTGCCGCCCTCTCGGTACCTGTGGGAGCGAGCGCGCCGCGCTCAAGTTAAGCATTGCTAAGGTGAGTTGAGTCTGTGGGCGCTCTGACCTTCGCTGAGTGGACCCTCACCCGGAGAAACCGAGGGAGGACGCCGCCTTGACCTCGGCCGGCTGGTTGTCCCGCGGACCGTGAGAGAGACGAGCGGGGAAGGCCGGTGTGCATCCCAGCTGTGCTCGCCCTCACGCGTGAGCTGGGGTGGGTGCCGGGTCCCGAGCCCCTCTTCGCCTCCCCGACGCAGTTTCGCAGAAGACAGAGAAGGACTGGATTTTATTACACCCCACGGTTTTGTTTCCGCTTGTTTGGTACTTGTTTGAAAGCGGAGTTGAAAGAAGAGCATAAATGTACAGGACTTGTGTTTTCAAATCTCACCTGAAACCTGAGCGGTGAGCACTGACTGGTTCTTGAAAAAGTTGGTCGTGTTAGCACTTGTGTCTCCTGTGCTAACATCGGCACTCTGTCACTTCTAGAGGAAGGGGCGAGGGTCACAGCCCCTTAGCTGCGGGACCTAGACATTGAATCTGTGCATGATAGTCTTGTCTAGTACTTAATACCGCGTAATAAAGGTAAAACTAATTAATTTTTTGTTTTTGTTTTTCGAGACAGAGTTTCTCTCTAGTTTTGGAGCCTGTCCTGGAACTAGTTCCTGTAGACCAGGCTGGCCTCGAACTCACAGCGATCCACCTGCTTCTGCCTCCCGAGTGCTAGGATTAAAGTCGTGCACCACCACCGCCTGGCTAAAGCTAATGAATTTTTTAAAGCCTCAAGTGGAACTTAAAGTTGTTTGCTAGGAGAACCATAAAGTTACATGAATATTCCGTTCAAAGTTTAAATACTAAGGACAAGCTCGCACATTAAAGTTGCATTAAACAAGCACCATTTGATATATCGATTTCTGGGTATGTGCACTGGAATACGAATGCTTCTAAAGTAATAAACGGTATAACAGAATTCTAGAATGGAAAAAAAATTATTCCATGAAGAATGGAGTACTCCTGAAAAGTCATGTCTGTAGAGTGAAAATCAGTGAAGCAAACCATGGTGCTTGCAGGTGCAGGAAGAAGAAAAGCCTGAGCCCAGATGTTGGAGGCTAGCCTTGCCCGCGGAGCAAGACTCCAACTCACAAAAATTCATTGTAAAAAAGTGGGGAGCAGCCAGGCGGTGGCAGCGCACACCTTTAATCCCAGCACTCGGGAGGCAGAAGCAGGGGGATCTCTGTGAGTTGGAGGCCAGCCTGGTCTCCAAGAGCTAGTTCTAGGACAGGCTCCAAAACTACAGAGAAACCTTGTCTCAAAACCGCTCCTCCAAAAAAGTTCTAAAGTTTGAATCATAAACATGTTGTGTAGTAGAAAGCAAGAACATAAACGATAGCAAGTGTGCCAGTGCCACAGAAGTGCATGACACTAACACCTCGTAGCGCTCACATGCTGACAAAATAGCACTCCAATAAAGCCCTTTTAGTTAGGTAAAAGGGCTTTATTTTTTTAGTCAGACTGTATCTCTCTTTCCTCTCTCGTTTTTTTGTTTTTTGAGACAGGGTTTCTCTGTACCTTTGAAGCCAGTCTGAAACTAGCTCTTGGAGACCAGGCTGGCCTCGAACTCACAGAGATCCGCCTGCCTCTGCTTCCCAAGTGCTGGGATTAAAGGTGTGTGCCATCCCCACCCGGCCTGAAACTATCTCTCTAAATATCCCTAGCTGTCCTGAACGCCATAGGAAATTCTTCCTGCTGGGTTTTGAGTGCTGGGATTAAAGGTGTGATCGTCACACCCAGTTTAAAATACTAAATGTGGGGTTGGAGAGATGGCTGAGAGGTTAAGAGGCTATTCTCCCAGTGGTCCTGAGTTCAATTCCTAGCAGCCACATGATGGCTCACATTTATCTGTAATGAAATCTGGTGCCCTCCTCTGACGTGCAGATAGAGCACTGTATGCATAGTAAATAAGTTTTTTAGAAAATCCTTAATACATTTTTAGAATTTCACTTTGTTGTTATTTTCTAAAATACAAATATGGATAAGAATTCTTAAAAATACTAGGGTAGGCATAAAAACAGAGAAGTCGACCAATGGAATCAAATAGAAGACCCTGACTTTAACCCACAAACCTATGAACACCTGATTTTCGATAAAGGAGCTAAAAGTATACAATGGAAAAAAGAGAGCATCTTCAACAAATTGTGCTGGCAAAACTGGATGTCAATCTGTAGAAGAATGAAAATAGACCCATA